AAAGGACAAAGGATTCGCAATGAATACAAGCACCTACGAGCCATTGTAGGAGACTCGTCGTGCACACAACATACTATCTACGAGCAAAGAAAGAAGATATGCAGTAAACGCAAACGCCTACGAACAGCATTAAGGAATATGTGATGCATATGTTAATTTGTATGCGAGACAAGGTAGCGGGATTATGGCAGAATGTATAATCTTGTGGTGCATACAGTAATCTCATTTGTAAGCCACAATAGAAGATCTGCACTTAATATAGCCCGCCCATAAGCCAGTGACAAAAGACTAGTAATGCATATGATGATCCTGCCCACAAGAGATATTGGGAGATGTCACACTGAGCATAGTCCACCAGCATATAGTAGAGGGCGGCTTTGAACGTCTACGGCTTACCCGCAAGCAGTATTAATGAAATCAACATTGTACAACAGTCCAGCTATAGGTAATGAAAAGAATCATGCAACCAATGTGGCGGATCCCCAACAAGCATAAGGGGATTGCAATAAACACAAGATACTATCTACAGCCAAAGGCTGCAAATTTATGATGAATATAAGCACCTGCGGGCAACTGTAGGAGGCTCGTTATGCTCGAACGATTCACCTACATGCAACAGCTGGTGACTTTTGAATGTCCATTGATGATCTACAAATAAATTTAACAAAGCTTGCATTGCACGACAGCTTTCCTGTAAGAAGCAACGAGTGACCTTAGCACAGCTCTATAACTCACGTGTAAGCAAAAAGCAAAAACAGGGAATTTGTAGTGAAGGCTACGAACTTGTGATAAATAGAAACAGGAAATTGTTGACACCAGGTCATCACGTCAAATAGATTAGCTCACTTATGAATGAAGGGTGAAGGACTCGTGATACACCATGCAGCTCATTTGCAAGAAAACATGCACTCCTACAAGCTAAATTCAGAGAAATTGACATGCAAAAGATGAAATGAGCTAAACAATGCAATCAAATCCGTAACTTTCATACAAGTGGACAGAAGACATTTATAGACCCCTAAATAAAAACTTGTGCATTTTTCAAATGATAATCACCTGCACAACCGATCATATTTGAATATTTCAAGAACACCCCCTCATATATTGAAATGCGCGCTAACAAATTCAAAATATGCATATGAAATTTTGCAAATACTTTAGAAGTAATAAGATGGAGAAGTCAAAAATCAAATATTATGATTTGATTTGACCCCCCCCCCCTTGCCTACATCACACACACACATTAGAATATGTAGGTCGCATTAAACAAACATATCATTCAATATTCAAAGGACACCACACTGTGGTGGCACATCACATTGACATACAATCACACTATGCATATACACATTGCAAAATATAGAATATGTCATGCAAGCATATCGTCCAACATGCAAGATGTATTGTATCGCAATAACGCTCTATACCGACATGCAAACACATTATACACTATATGGGGGCATTTGAATTATTACACAAATGCATTATGGAAACATACGGGCAATATATGAATGCATTGTACACATATGCTAATGTATCATACACCATGTTGGTACACTAAGCCACCACACAACATGTCACGCAAGCACGTCGAATAGTGTACAAATGTATACGTCAGCATATATGCATGCAAATATATAAATATATATGTCAGTATGTCAGCATGCAAATGAATACATGAGTGTATATGTGAACATACATATATTTCATATACATCCACTGCATTATATACATATAGCCACCATATGAATACACCATGCAAAATGCACTCAAAAGAATGTACATGCATGGGCCCCGATGAGCGTGATATATGTACATACGTGATGTCAGAAGATATTATACAGGTCAAAAGTGAACCGGAGTTCAAGTCTGATCCTTCTCTTTGAACGGACAAGAGTTGACACGACTTGAACCACTGAACAAATACACGGTCGTAAAGCCAGCCAAAGTATTTGATTTTATACATTCATATTAGGTAATCAAGGTCAATTATAAGAAAAATTCACAACTAAAAGCATAAAGCCAACAACAAACTTGATCCTTAGTTAGCAGGTAGATAGAGTCAACAAGGTTCAACTAATAAAGTAAAATTACATATCCCCGATGATGGCCGTGTTGATCAAAAATATCAACCAGAGGGAACTCCAAACATTTAACATGCCTCCCAACATCCTATAAAATACAAGCGTCTAAATTGACTTTAACATCATCACCATGATGATCGTATTAAATGTAAATATCAACCGGAGGATTCAATTCTCAAAGATTTAAATCTTTACAATTATTAATAATATTAATATTCAAAATTAAAATTAATTACCTAAACATTTAAAGTAAAAAATTCATCTATCCTCCACAAATATTTGCCAAGGTGGACAAATTTTAAAATCACTTTAGCTCACAAAGAGCAAATGTCTGGCAAATAATATCACTAGGATTCTTTGTCAAATTATCTCTTACCAGTAAGGATGTGGCACGTGTCCTCTAACCAGTAATTTCACTGTCAAATGACGTCACAGTTAAACGGGATCGGGACCCTTTAACCGGGTGGTTTTGGCAGTTAAATGGCACCATTAAATTATGGTCATGATCGAAGCCCGTATATTCTCCAACAACTCTAAATCATTGAGTAATGAATAAATACGGAATAATCGATAGGGCACAAAGCCCTTTGTTAGCTAACGTGGACTTAAATCTGCCCCCTTAAACAAACATTCACCCCAAGTCTACAAGTTACCCTTGGACAAAGCAACCCATGGTTGCTAACAAGGATCCTTCGATTAGGTTGGGTCGATTACCTCCTCTGACTGAATAGACTAGGACCATGATGACCCGGGACGACGGAACCATGGGATCTTGATCGGGTTCATCATCATTCCCCAATTATCCTCTTTAAGAGCAAGGTGATGAATTTCTAAATTTAAATATTAATTTTCACATATAAAATTATTTTTACTACATGTTGGATACTATGTATCTATTCTAATGACTAGCCTTAATCGAAAGTTCTCTCTTATTATCGGGAGGGGTTATTAACTAAGGATCTTGTGCCTATAAGAAATCTAAACTTAGATCATAAAGTCCTTGCAAAATGAGGGCCAAATTTTTTGGTAGTATCTTATATAAAACTAAAGTTTAAAATTGTGCAATTGGGTATTAAGGCATTTTTTGTTAGTGAGGCGGTTTTGAGACAAAAAAGCCAAAAATCTAAAAATTGCATGAAGTCAAAATAAAAGTTAAAAGTGATTTTTTATATAATATCCTAATAATATGTTAAAAGATAATATATTAACTTTCTATTGAACTATGAAGTAACAAATTTACATATATATGTAACAAAAAATTGTATAAGATGTGAAGTATTAAGTAATAAATTATATGAAATAGAATTGAAATCTAAATATTACATGAACAAAAAAATATATAAAATATATTAATTGCATAAAAGTATCATATAACATCAAGCTCAACTTAATTTTTTTCTCAGTTGCCTACTCATCTACGTTTAATTCCTAAAGAAAGCTGAAATAATTGACAACAACTCAGAAATCATCTGTACTATCATTACTAAGGTGATTTTTATTTGAGTCATTGTCCTAACAAATTAGTCTCTTTCCTTCCTCATCGTGTAGGGTCCAATACATCACAATTTGTTTTTTCTTCAATTATTTCATTCATCTTCATCTATCATAAATGTTTGTCATCAACCTAAAGATAATACTCCAAAATTTTAAGAGGAGATAGTGGTGATATGCGGCTTTCTAGTGATCCTCTGTGGCGGCTACGAGGTGGTGGCTACAGTGAAGGCATTGGGCTAGAGGTCAAGGCAATGGAAAGGAAATCGCTGTGGCTTGGAGGTGTAAGAAGGCATGATTTTTTTGGGGCTTTTGTATAGGATTTAGGTAAGTTATATATATATATATATATATAGTGAGGCATACGCCTTATGCCAGCGAAGCGAGGCACGCCTCAAGGAGAGCCTCGTCCAAGATGAGACATAAGCCACGAAGCATTTTTTACTGGAATTGCGTTGAGGCGGGCATCAAGGCGAGCCTCATATTGCGCAATTTTAAACAATGGACTAAAACTCAATCTGCCTTCTGAAAATTTACCTCGGAACTTAAACTTATTAAAACTCTACTAGCAAACAAAAAATAAAGGGGTTGTTGAGAGGCTGGGGCTCGAATTTTCGAAGCCCATAGTCGGTAGTCATTGTGCTGATAATTTTTAAATAAATTTTTTTGGTATGATATATATGTCCTAAACAATGATTTCCATATGTGGGCTAAATTGGGTGACATTTAGAGATATTATAATTCGCATATTATCATAACAAAAATCATATACATATCTTTAAATATAATAGCATTGAACAAAATATGTAGTATTTAATAGAGAAGACGAATATTTTAATAACACTGACATCTAATTAATGTTGAATCCTTATCTTAATCACCAATAGTGAATCAACCAATATAAATAAATATGTGCAATTAAATGCTAGATTTCAATTTGTTTTTGCAGCTTTACAAATATGATGTTCTAGAATGGCTGGCATGCATGCCTTGAACCATTACATAGGTTAATATTAGAGGCGTGGCTTTATATTTTGCAGAACTATCACGAGGATATAAAATTCTTGCAATATGAATACTATTAAATAGCATTGTTAAAAAAAATAACCAATTTCTTGCAGTATGTTCTGGCACTAGGTTCTAACTTGATTTGGCATGTCGCCGAGATAAATACGTTAAAATCAGTTTTGAAATATCATTCAGTACAAAGCAGAATTGGAATTCACAATGCAGAATGAACTGAAAAAGGAGATTATTTACAATAGATGTCTTATTGTTGGATTAATGGTACAGAAAACATATATAGAGATTATTTCCTCTAGCCAATTGGTGCCTAATGAATCATAAAAAAAGATGAATTCACAATGATATTTCCAAGCATTCAATGAACTAACCAAGAAGCGAATCAAGTCACATGAGACTTGCCTGCAAGCCCACACGGCTTAGTTTTTTAACAGCAATCTCAAGATTTGCATGTAGATCAACAGAACTCTTGATTGTGCCTCTATATACACATCCAAAGCCACCTTCACCAAGCATCTGTGAGCGGCTGAAGTTTCGAGTAGCAAATTTTAGTTCTTCAATTTTGAATATCTTAAGATCGTTTAACCTCTGAGAAAATCTAGAGAATTTAAATCTCCCTATAGAGTCTGTACTCATGTCTGAAACGTTTCTGGAGGTCAAGTCGGATACAGATTTCTTTGTATCTTGATCGGTCGATGTCGTGCTGCTTGAAAAATGCATTGCCATCTTACTTACTTGAGGTTCTTGCTTCCCTTCTCTATTCAAGAAATGAAAACACTTCATGGACTCAATTTGAAAGGCACTCTCAAAATACGTTTACTATCTGAGAAATTCACAAGGGAAAATAGCTTAAGAAGCAGGGAACATTACTTGCAATGAGAAAGAGGATGCCCATCTATAAGTAAACTAGTGATAGCAAATAAACATACATATGAAGCAAGGCTTATCCCACCATCATGCAGCCAAAGAATAAAAATAAAATCACCAGCTAGAGAGACTTCAATTGAAAGGAATAATAATCCACACTTATTTCTTCACAAGTCAATGAAATAACAAATAAAATAACTTAGGCTTTGTTTGGGACGGCTTTCTTGCTACTTCTTAAAGCAATTTTTTAGTTAAAAAATTAAAAATGTTGTGCTAGAAGGTTGTTTTAAGAAGAAGTAAGAAAGTTGTCCCAAACCAAGCTTAGGCTTAGTTTGGGACGGCTTTCTTACTGCTTCTTAAAGCAACTTTCTAGTAAAAAATTAAAAATTTTGTACTAGAAGGTGCTTTAAGAAGCAGTAAAAAAGCCGTCCCAAACGAAGCCTTAAACTTCCCTTAAACCATTAAACATGCAAGAGAATAAAACTTTGCACCTATTTCTATCCAAGGCATGATATATAGTAGTTGTTTGTGTCACATCCATCCAGCACCAGGAACATCTAACATAAGCTTCATAAAACTAACAAATAATAAAAAGAAATCAGCCTAATGTCTTCTTTGAAGAACAAAGAGAACTTCCAAAAGCCCCAAATCTAACCAAAACTACCAACTTTGCCTACAAACCATGGAATGAATCCAAAAGAAACCCTGATAAGAAACTTAGCGAAGTACTTATTATAGTTTTCCGGCCATTCTCCCACTGAACTTTCTAGTACCCTTCCTTGATCCCATTTTTGCGCTTTTTTCTTAAATAAACTTATGGAAGGTTAGAAATCAAAACTTACTGAAGCTGTAGTACAGAATCAATAGATCACCCTTTCAGACTGAAGGAAAATTTCAAACTTCAGTTTCCTGGAACTGGCTCTCCAGAGGTAAACGACTCCGATGAGCTTCGAAAACTCCATGCGCAACGACGTGGCCATTAATGCCATAACAACCTGGGCAAAGAAAGTCAAGAGGATGAATAGATCAGCTGTATTAAATTACTTGGTTTCTATCTGCCGAGAATTATGACAGAGCAATGTAATCCGAGGATGGAGTGTAAGATAATTTGGTGGTAAAAAGTTTAGATTTTTTTTTTTAATGTTTTAACAATAAATTATATATAAATTATTTAAATTTATTATTTTGAAGAGAAAAATGTCTCTCTTGATTAAGAAGCCATCAGTCTTTTCATAAAAATTTTAAATAATTATCAAAATTTTGAAATTAAATTTCACCGCAAGTTCTAAAAAAATCCATTAAATTAAACGGCTGTTTGGCAATTTGGCTACAAATAGGATTTAGTAAATTCAAATTTAGATAAATCTGAAAGTATTAAACTCTAAAACAAGTTCGCGTCATTAATATTAAATTTAATTATATTCTCTTAATTTATTTGAAATTTGTTTCAAGATATCAGATTTAAATGAGTAGATAATTAACTACTGTAAAAGGATATAATGCCCATTGGTTAAATGAAATTATTATATATCCAAGTTCAAGCCATATATTTTAAAATAAATTTGTGTATGTGATGTTGTGATTATGTGAATTTTTTCACTTACTTTGCTTGTTTTTCAAATATTGGTGGTTGGGTGAATGTCGTGTTTATATGTGTTCTAGAAAATGCATATGATTTGCTTCGATTTTTGCTAGACTCTTATCAAATAAAAAATTTTATATTGAAAATCAAAAGAATATAGAATAAAAGAACTTAGAAAGATAATCAGTTTATAATGCAAATTGAGGTTTGGCTAGGATCCATTGTATATGGTATTTCTATTCCTTGCTTAGTCACCTCGCAGCCTGCAAATTTTGATAAGCCACCTTTTTTTTTTTAAGATTTAAATTTAATAAAAATAATAATTACTTAATTTAAAAAAACATAAAAATTATTCGAACCGGCTAACGAACTCACGAGCCGAGCATCATCAAGCTCGAACTCGAGCTCATTTACTAAACAAGCTCGAGTTTGAGCTCGACTCAAGAGCTTCATAAGCTCGGCTCGCGAGCCCATAAAAGAGTCAAGCTGGCTCGGCTCACTTACACCCCTAATCGCAAGGGAGGCCTATACTTTTAAGAAAATATTTAATTTATAAGTATTTTTAAAATTTTAATTTATTATGATTTTATATAAGTCAATTAGCATGCATTGCATTAGAAATAAATTTAAAAATAAAATTTAATTGTATTTAGCCTTAAACGCGTAGCTACCATTCATATGTTTGAGATAATTTAGGGTATCTGGATGTCGGTCCCAAATTCTTAATGCAATTACACCCTAAATATCTTGCATTTGCATAAGATTGAACATCATGGTTTTAAAATTGATTATGTGATTTTGCTAGCATTCCATTCCAAGGGAGATGTAAGTTTAATATAGTTAGGCACTTTTGCACTCCATTTGAGTAGGTTCGAGGTAATACCCTATATGGCCCATATTAGCTCTAGGTTCTGAAGCTAATTGTTCATTATAAGCCCTAACTCTCCAAGCAATTCATTAATCTTATGATCAAGAATATAAGTCTCAATTTTCTAATAAAATGTCAACTTAAATACTAAACATCAATATCAAAATTATAAATTCCAATTTGAGATACTTTTGAGCTTCTCAAAATCATGTTTCTTCTACCCCTCCTCCTTCGACTCCTTAAAAATAAAAATGTTCCACGTTTGAACCAATCCCTTTTGATATTTCTAAAATTTAACAATCATTAATCCTAAACCTCAGAAATCATAAATCTAATTATCACAACATTAATCAAAAGTTTTCTTAAGGGATTCCCATCCCTTAAGATATAATTACTTATAAGACTCACCTTTACAAGGAATAAGTAACCTAGCTTAAAATAAAACTTATTTTATTTTTGGGCTATAAATAAAGTAAAGTAAGAATCTTTTGGGAAACCACTGACCAAAATTCAAACTTTGATAAATCATTATTCTCGTATGTGAACCCTTAGTAAAGTGATATATCTGTTCTTCAGGATGCTATGTTATTTTCTAAGATGATTTGATTATGGGATTAATGAAAATATCTTGGTTTATATAATTGAATTGCATATTATTCTCTCAGGATTGAATGATATTCTTTATGATAATTCAGTCACAATAACTAGGAGAAAACTTATATTTCTATATTTGAATTCAATGCTAAATATTTTTTTATATTTTGAGATAATATATTATTCGTATTGGCCTATTTGATTACAAAATAGAAATTTAAAATCATGTTGGACTTATTTTTCCCAACATTAACTCAATCAAATCATAAAATAAAGCATGGGCAGTTCATTATAAACATTTCTTCATATTGTTCCAAATAATTATATTTCCAAATAATTGACCAAGTTAGATTGAATAGTACTATGTGCATTATATATTACAATATTGATCTTGTAGTGCAAAGATGATTTATAAAAGTTTCTTTTACATCACAACTTTCAAGTGTTCAGTGTCGACCTTACACACACAAATATAACCAAATAATAAAATTAAAAAATAACCACAAATACAACCATTCATAACACGTGTATAACCCACATATATAAACAACTTACTATTGACCGCATTTTTAGATGAGGTTATTGTTATTCTTTTCTCTAGGAGAAATCATAGCTCTACTTATCTTACCCAGGAAACCCATGGATGTACATTGACTCAACTCTAAAACCTTAAAACCTTCTTAAACATTCATTAGGGGCATCAGGTGGGTGCCTAGCTCAACTAATTAGACCTATGCACTAAGCTTGATAACCCTAGATTGAACTTAATGTTCCTATATTTAACAAAATGCCATTACCCTTAACCTATGGCTCAACCTAAAACCTCGGCGTTGGGCTTGGTATAAACTAGTCCTAAACCTCCATTAGGACAAATTTGACTCACCCTTAACCCTTAGTTAACTCAATTGATAAAGGTTCTCCTAAATTACCTTAATACCCCAAGCATATGAGCACCCAAACCTAGAGGTATCAAAATGGATAATTGTGTTAGGTTCAGGTCGAACCTGGAATTGACCCAGGCCCAATTCAGTTGACCTGAATTGGACCCAATTTTGTAAATGGGTAAGAAATATAGACACGGACCCTACCCGCTAGGTTATCGGGTTGACCTAGCCTGACCTAATTTTGCAAACTACTGTGAGATCGCGTGCTGCAAGAACGAGTGACGCAATTGTGGATGAGGGCGTCCTAGCAAAATCCTGCAAGTGTGTGGGTGCGAGGGGAGTGCGAGCTTGCGCGACTGCACAAGCAGGATGCAATGTGGGCGAGCGCATGGGAGCGTTTTATGTGTGGGTGCACTGTGGTGAGGGCTATATTGTAGGATCTCACAGAGCATACGACTGCATAGGTACACTCATGTGCTGTGCATGAGGTAGTGCAGGTTACAGGCCGGGTGATTAGAGAGTGTTACTGGGTTGACCCAAACCCGACTTGATTTTTCAAACCGGACAAAAATAAAAACTAAACTTGACCCATTTGTTAATTGGGTCTATCTGAACTTGTATTTTTTTTTTTTTTTTTTTTTTTTTTTTTTTTTGTTGGGTTTAGATCGGGCTATCAGGTCAGGTCAATATTTGACACGCCTACTCAAACCCTTGGTTTAACTAATTGATTTTGATTGTAGCTTTGACTGTAGCCTATACCTTAAACCTTTTAGACTCACCCTAGGTCCCTCTTAAGCCTAACATAATCTATGGTCAACCCATTTGACCATGATCAAGCCCAAAATTACCTAAATACCCTAAATTTATCTAATTGGGTTTCCTTAGTTAAAGCTCACCCTAGCCTTAGGATTGTGTACCAAGACCTTTTAAGCATCTCATTGAACTTAACTAAACTTATTTTTAACCCAAGTTACCTAAATGACCTAAACACCCTCTTTGATGGACTAAGCATAAACTACTTATCCCAAGACCTTCAAACTTTGTCTATAACCTCTTAGCATCCTTGGCTAGTTTTCCTAACCAACCTAGCACTTAGGCTAGCCCAAGCCACTCAATTGGGCCAACCTAAGGTGAGCACAAAGTAGTAAAACACTCAATATAATCCAATTCCTTGGCTCCCAAATCTCCCTTGAAGCTTTTTAAGTGTTTTCTAGTAAGGAGGGATACCTGGCCAGCTCTAGCTGGCTAGAATTCTCCATGGCTTGGGTACCCCAATGCTATGAGATGCATGCACGTAAGCTTTTGGTCTCCATTCATAGAACGTAATCAAGTGGGATCTATGTGTACAAATTCATGTAATATGTAATATAATGCACATTAATAAAAAGTAACTCTTAGGAATACATGAAGTTGCATATCTAATCAAAACTTCTTATTTCTAGAAGAAGATAATGCATGTGGAATCACTTTAGGTGATGTATGACTACCTCTATAACTACATGTAAGTTTTCTCAGCTCTATAATTTTCTTTTTTAACTCATCATTTACACTTTTTATAATCCCATTCTTGACCTAAAGTTTATGTTCAATTTCATAGAAATGTTGAACATGTCCTTCTAGTGTAGTGTATGCACGTCAAAGCTTAGTATGCATGAAAATTTATCTTTTAGCTCTTTTTTCAAACTTTCAGATTCTCTTAATACAATAGCATGTTTTTTTTGCAAGGTAGAAAATTCTTTTTTTTTTATGTAGAAACTTTTTACTTCAATTTCTTAAGGCTAACATGCAATTATTTTTAAAAAGAAAGTAGTTCATTACAGGAAAAATTGTATACATGTTGGGTATTTGAAACACCCAAACCTTCATTAGCCATTAAGCATAGATTTATGACTTATTCTTTGATCCTAGTCTTGCTGGTGTTTGAATCTAAATTAATGCAAAGTAACTGTTGTATTTTTCTTTTTATTTTTCCTACTTTCTCACTTCTCCTCGACCTTCTCCTTTTGTTGTTGGTTCTTGAGATTCAAACAATCCCACTTGATATGACTTTGCTTTTTGCTCACAAAATAAATAACCAAATTTAGTATCATTTTTATCTTTCTTCTGGGTACTCTTTAGGATTTTGAACTATCATG